GAATTCCAAGCAGGCAGTTTGAATACACATTTTATGCAAGCCCAGTCACTGGCCCATACATCGACCTCCTCAAATAATAATGAAATGTTCTAATTTAGGGGCCCCCAACCTTCTTGGCACCAGGGTATGATCTTGTAGAAGATAAATTTTCCATGGACCAGAGACTGGGAGGATGATTTGAGTGATTCAAAGACGCAAATGGCCTAGGTCCTTCCCGAGAGCAGTCACGGCAGGGCTCCTGCTCCTGGGAGAACCCAGTACCTCCACAGTGGTGGGGAGTGGCTGTCAATACAGGTGTAGCTCCCCTTCCCGGACGCTCACCTCCTGTAACACACCTTGGTTCTCTCAGGCCATGGAGCCCTAGAAGGCAGTGGCCAGGGTGTTGGGACCTGTGCCAGAGCTGACTGCCAGTGAGCAGCATCTGAACACCTACTAACTTAACTCGCCCTGAACAATAACCCTAACCCCCTAAGTCTATTCTGGTGGCAAGGACCAGGGGCACCATGCAGTCCTCCCAGTATTCTCTTTCTATCTGAAAGTATGTTTGTAAAAGAACAGCACTGTAATTAGAATAGATTATTTGTGAGCTCACGTATGATCTTTTGTGAGCATGCAAACACACAAACAATGTACATATCTGCATACATGGTTTCCTTCTTCCTGATGGCCACCAATCACCAACCTGTAGTCACTCTGATAACTGAAATGAAGGATTTGCTGCAAATCTACATCTGGGAGTCCTAACGTAGGAGATGGGCAGCTCCTGGAAGAGTTCTGTGCTTTAGCTTCTGGGAGAGAGCAGTGGTTTCCCTTGATCTATGGAGAATTTGACTCTCAAGAGGAAAACAGGTTTCTGTGTGGTTTTCAGTCTTGCCTCTAGGATGAACCTTTAAGAGCAAAGACTGTCCAAGGAAGCAGACAGAGGCAGGCATTCCTACCTCTACCCGTACACACATAACTTCCATGGCAACCCGTGTGCCTTTTAAAGTGATAAACTATAATGGTTTAAAGCTTGGCTGCCTTTTCTTCCCTCAGTGAGGAGAAGTCTGCCAACTTGGCTTTAACAGTCTCAGCTGTTTCGGAGTGGTACAGTCACATCTTTACTCTTTCTGCAGCTACAGTAGGAAGTTGTGTTCATTCAGAAAACCAGACATACCTGGTTGGCCCCACTTTTCCCCTGTCTCACACATACTGCTGGCCATAATCAGGGTAGGGTCTAATCCTGGAGGAAAAAGTTATTGTTGTGTGCACTTTGAGCTTTCTCTCTGCAGAGTTCTCTTGCCAGATGGAAAGGGGGCTTGTATGCGGAGTGTTCTCATACATGCTGAGAAAGTCTCGCATACGCAGCAACTGCAGTTTCTATTTCTGAGAATTTTGTCATGAGTCTTGACAATCAATGAGAACCATAAACAATTAGTCACAGCTATGGATCTCTTCAAGCTCATGGTCTGAAGAGCTTCCCGGGCAAGCCATGTCTGGGGGCCCAGCAGGCATGGCCATGTGTACTTCTATGGGCAATGGCATGAGGGTCTGGGGCCCAAGAAGCATCTGGGGAGCCCCTTAATATCATCTGCGTCCTTCCCAGCTCTCCGCTACTCCTGACATTCAGAGTTAACATGGAGATCTTGTCCCTGGTAAGCGACGTTGTTGGTGGTGAAATCTTTAACAGCTAATCTGAGCAAAACATTTGCAATCACTTCCAACACAGCCAGATCATGTCATTCTTATCACCAATAAAAAATTACCACATTTCCCCGAATCCAAGAAGAGCTTGGTTTTCTTTTATTGCATTCAGTTCCCCGCAGTGAATCCACAGAGATGTGACAAAGCAGGAATTTAAGAATAGAAAGCAAACCTTCCACTTCTGGGAAAGATGTTGGGAAAATGAAAGGAGGGAAACAGCTCACAGAAGAACTGAAACCCACGTAGGCTGCCTTGCAGGGTCTTTGGATGCAGCCTTATTTTGCTTCGTGTCATGGTCTTGCTGTCTCTCAAGGAGGAATGCTTTTGTGGGAAGGGGGGTGGGTTGTTTTCCCATTTGTGTTGAGGCCTGAGCATAAACACAGGGCTCTGCCATGCCTCGACAATGCAATAGGGAGAACTGTGCCGAGCAGGCAGAGTCTTAGAAGCCCTGCTGTGGGCAGGGGTCTGCCTTGGCTCAGTGGCAGTGACCTCCGCCTTCTAGGGCCACTGCCAGCCTCATGGATGGCCCATGGGGACACTGGAGGTGCTCCTGAGTGGGGTCTGATAACAGGCAGGGATTCACCAGGGAGGGGAAAGTGTTCCCACCAAGGGACTGGGTGGACAAGACACAGATGAGGTCGGTCCGGGCTCGGGTAACACAGGCAGCCTTGAGTCATGCCAAAGCCACAGGGCATCGAGTTCACCTTTGGGATTTGTTTCCTTATCTACAACAGGGCATGCTACCCAAATGCAAAGTTTGTTTTAAAAAAAGAGCTAAATAAGGTCTCTGTATAAATGTTGTTCTTGTATGCAAAGCTTAGGCTTGATGCGTAAGCCAGAGAGCTGTCAGGAGGATCAGAGGGCTGAGACAAAGGTTGACTCCCTTTTAGATTTCTCTTTAATTGAGGTACTAGAGAGTGAAGCCATGGGCTTTGCAAGGAGCTACACCCCAGCCCTTTTTATTTATCTAGGCTCTTGCAGCAGAGGAGGTGAGAGTTGGTTGCTCTACAGATTTCCAGCCACTGGGAAACAAATGAGGAGGAGGAGGAGAAGGAGGAAGAGGAGGAGGAGGAGAGAGAAGAAGATAAAGAAGGAGAAGGAGGAGAAGGAAAAGGAGGAGAAGGAGAAGAACAGAAGGAGAGGGAGAGGGAGAGAAAGAGAGAGAAACTGGGTATGGTGGCACAAGCTTGTAATCCCCTCACTCTGGGAGGCTGAGGCAGGAGGATTGCAAGTTGGAGCCCATTTAGAAACTTAGTGAGACCCTGTCTCAAAACATAAAGTGAAAAGGGGCTGGAATGTAGTTCAGAGTCAAGGCCCTGGATTTGATATCCATCACCAGAACAAACAAATGAAAGGAAATTCCTGTCAGGATGATGGCTGTACCTCTAAAGTTTTCCAGTCCACAGAGCAGGTCTGGGCCAGGTGGGAAGGGGAAGACCAAGGACAAGGAGTACTGGGGTGGGAGGTGAACTCCGCTGGGCAAGCACAGGCAGGTGGCTCCATCCACAGGTCATGCCTGGTGACCGCAGGGTGAGCTTAAGCCAGTGAAGCACAGGACCAGTGTCACTGGAAGAGCACAGGCTGAGAGAACTGGAAGAAGACAGATCAGCAAACAGACGTTATCCCCACTTCCTGTGTCTGAGACTGCAGAGAATCGTGGAGCCCATGGAGAAAACTGAATCCATTTAGCCATTTGTGGTGGCGCACGCCTGTGGTCCTAGCACTCGGGAGGCTGAGGCAGGAGGATTGCAAGTTCAAGCCCAGCCTGGGCAACTTAGTGACTTCACCAGACTTTTCAGGATGGTGGGGCTGGAAGGCTGTGTAGTGACGGCCTCTCACCTTCTCTGCTGCAGGAAACTAAGTAAATCTCAAGTATGGCAGGAAATTCGCCTGGCTTTGCGCCAATCTTATAAAATCTGCTTGGAGCCAAGACCTCAGGAGAAAGTGTGCTGATTTCTTGTTTTCCCTGTAGCTGCAGAGCTGACCATTGCTCTCTGCTGCTTCCCTGGGGACCAAAGTGAGGCGGGTGTCATTCCACGCATGCATATTCTGAAAACAAATACAAGCGTGGGATTTAGGAAGGACAGGATGCATGACAATCCCCCGGCGGGCGGCAGGACGAGATGCAGCTGTGGGAGCACCAGAGTCCAGCGCTGTGGATTTACAGCCCGGACTTTTTTCCTTAACGTGGCGCTGGCCCAGGCTGGTCTCCCTCCCGCCGCACTCCTGCAAGTTGATTCTGACCATGGTGGAGCTGCTGCCTGCAGCCCCCAAGATTGCTTTTCAGGCTGTTCTTTAAGGGTGTGTTAGTTTTTTTTTCTTCATCTCCTTTCATCCGTTCTGCACCTGGTAGTTGGGGTGCAAAGTATAGCTCTCAAGTATTGCTTCTTCGAAACAGAAAGGGTTTGGAGATGGATGTGTTTTGGGGCGTGTCAGGGAATGATGCGTGAGGTGGGCACCCACATACGCCCAGGCCAGCTGCCCAACTGGATCATCACTGCTTTCCCCTGAAGAGGCCTTCATTCATTCCTTTTGTGTTGCAAGCGGAGGTGAAGCAGAAAAAACACACCCTGGGGCGAGGGACTTTGTCACCAGCCCTGTTAGGCAACTGGGTCACAGGCCTGGGAGCTGAGCCACACCTGGAAATGCCTCTCAGCTGGCATGGGAGGTCACCGCGCCATGCCTGTTGCGGCATGCGCCTCCCGAGGGTGTCCGAGCCAGAGGGAAGAGCACTAAGGGGGCAGAGCCAAGGAGTGGGTGACACGGAGGTGACAGGCTAGAAGCCCAAGGGACAGGGTTCCGGTTCCCTCTCCACCACGTCCGACTTCCGGACAGGACACTTCGTGGGCACAGGGGTGCGGGGCGGAGGGCCCCACCGGAGCCCTGCACGATCACAGTTGGTGCCAGCCAATAGAGCATCTCTCGCTCAGTTCTGATAGAAGTCATGAGACGGCCAGACGCAGCTGCTGTCACCACCGCTAGTGGCCTCACTGCTGCACCTGGGGTGGACACTGTCTCCATCTCCGATCTTCATGGGATGCTCGGGTCTGGACCTCTTCAGGAGAGCTGCGCAAGGACAGCAGCGCCGTGTTTATAATTCCTTTAAAAGAGGCTGAGCTGTCCACACTACACATTCGGAGAAGATGTACAAGGCCACCAGAGCAAGGCTTGAGTTGAACAAGGCCGGTGCTGCCGCACACCAGAACCCTGTAAAAGACTGACAGCTATCAGAGGAGTCCAGAGGCCTGGAGCAGCTACAGCAGCAGCGAGCCTGTGATTGGTCCATATGTGAGACTATGATTGGTCCAAATGTAAGCCTGCTGATTGTTCCAAATTCAATTCTGCTGGTTGTTCAAATTCCAGCCCACTGTGGTGGGACAGACAACTCTCCCTGTGGGTGCTGGGCATCCAGGGTGGCCGCAGCAGGGCTGTCCATCCACATATGCTTTTTTCGGGCTATAACAGAGAAAAGGGGACGGCTGGTGTTTCCGATCTGCTCAGGGTCCAGAGGGCAGCACTCAGGTAGCCTTCCTCACCCCAGCGTTTATTAGATGTGCGCTGCCTGCCCAGGAGAGGTTGCTTTTCAGCCCGAATTACCCCATGAGACCGCAGCCTATGTGGAGGAGGGGACGTTCTTTTGCTGACTCATCGCCCGCGGCCCTCACCTCTTAAGGGGATGTTTCTCATGGGTTTGCCGGTGCCACCTGCAGTTTTGAGCTCAAGGCTCCGCTCTGGGGGCTTCCAGGGTCTCTCTCTTCACAGAACCAGGGCCACTCAGGGGCCTGTGAGGAGGGCCAGGGAGGAAGCATTTCAAAGTGAAACCCACCCTCTGTAGGGTGCAGGAGAGAGAGACTGAAGGGCAGGCACAGGGGCCGGAGAACTTCCTGGTGGAAAAAGAGAGCCTTCGAGGGTCCTGTTCCAGGGCCAGAGAACGCTGGCCGGGTGAAGCTAAGGTCAGCCTGCTAGAAACCTGGCACCTCTACTAGAGTCAGAGGGACATGATTGCTTCAGCTGATCCTAAGTTGGAAGGGAGAACAAACATTAGAGAGGCTGTCAGTGATTTGACAAAGTTACAGCCATTTGGGGCCACTTGCTGGATTACTGTTTGGATGGTCACTTGGGAGAGTGAACCAGCTTCCTCACCTCTGACTTCTCCTGCTTGCTGTAGACAAGGCTTTTGGTGTCTGCGGGTCGGGGTCAGGGTTCTGTCTTTACATGTGATGATCTGGCGACTGTCTGTCTGTATATTTATTCTCTCAGTGACACTTCTGCCAGAGCCTGTGCTGCTCACCTGAAGCCAGTCGGTGCCGGCAGCTGCCCACTGGGAAGGGTGGCAATGCTTTTGTTCTGCCCCAAGCCCACATTACTTGGAAGTGTGCTCTGCGTAATCTGATAGCATTTCTGTCTTTCCTGAGTTAGCTGGCTGGATTGCCTCCTACAGAACAGGTGTTTTGCACCACGATGGTCTTCATGTTCAAGAAAGTTGTAAAAATGCTTTAGAACTATGAGGGCACCATGATTGTTCAGATTGCAAGAGTCTCTATTTGAGAGCACCAGACAGGTTCTGGAGAGGTGGGGTAAAGAGTTAAATTATGGTATCTGCTCCAGCCTTTGTGTTACATAACAGTATTAACTTTTCTGTGTCCCTGAGTTAACAGCATAGGGGAGATGAAGTGTTTCTTCCTGAAGTCACTCTCTGAATGCAAACCAAAATTGGAGGAAAACCGTGGGCTATTTTAAAATGTAAACTGTGCAAGAAATAAATTATTTCTGAAAGAGTTCTATTGAGAAGCTCCAACCTGATGAGCTTTTGGCCTAGGTAAGCATTTACCTCCAGCCACTGCATGCCATTAATGCAGTGATTATTTTAGGAAAGCTAATAAACACTCTCTGGAGTTAATATTTGCTCCTGAGGAAAGTTTGCCAAGAGCTTAGAATACATTTATGGAAGACTTTGCCTGCTAGGTTTGAGTACAAAGTTTGAAACACCCAAATCCTCTTGATAATCATTAATAGGAATAATCAGTGCACACAGAATGCTACCCAGCAAAGCCTAAATCCGATAAAGAAATAGGAAAAACCTTAGGAATTTTGCACGGTCAGCCAAATGCGGTCCGTCCCTAACGAATTCCAGTCAACTAACCCTGCTGTTGGTTTAGTCCCTGCAATGACCTCTGTTTAAATCTATACCATCTGCCCGTGGGCACTAGAGTCACAGTGATTAAACCCTTGCTACTTTAAGGGGACAAACGAACACAGACTGGGCTACAGTTTAATGCAAACACACTGCCTTTAACAATGGGCCACTACCCACATTCTCAGCAGGGAAGAATAGAGCTTGGTGGCTGACCTGAAGGTAGGTAAGGCAAGGATAGGCTGACTTGGCTGGCAGTCTTGACCCCTAACTTTCAAGGCTGATTATTTTCTGGTTCAGTCTTACTTTTTGGGGGAAACCCCATGGTTTAAGTAGGGTTTGCTTTGATTTATGCTCCTGGTGAGTAAATGTAGATGAAGAATTTAGATTTCAGCAAGTGTGTCAGACACATACCTATCTATCCTCTTATGCTGAGGAATTCAGGAAATGTTAATATTTTATTACACTGGTATCACAAATAAAGCACGATACTCTTTATATTTTAGGCTGCATGCCTCTTGGGGCAGTCTAGGAGAAGGGTACTTGGTAAAGTACTAAAGTGTGTATTTCTTGCATAGGATCTATGGAAGAATTTAAGATATTTAGCTTAATTTATTTTTAAAATGGATCCAGGGGCTTAGACATACAGGGAAGAACTACAGAGCCCAAGAGGGACTGGCAAGCCAAGTGATGTAATTTCTTGCCTTAACAATAGAAAGCACAGAAAAGGTTTCTTATAATGGTGTTGCCCCCTCAAGAGAGATTAAGCAAAATGGAAAAATCCAGGAGTGTGTTCTGGAAGGCATCCATCTGCTTAAGCAAGGGTAAGGCCTGCTTTTTCTGCTGTAGGCGATGCTGTAAAAAAAACCTTACCAACAACTAGTCACCATTCTTTCAACACAGAAACCGTTCCTCTTAACCTCTCGAAATATCAGTTTCAGGAACAGATGAGCCACAAGAAGGCGTGCACCCCAGCACCGGTGAGTTGAGCAGTTTCACCTTTGCCACTGACAAGCAGACAACCTAGGCTTGCACATATTTATAGCAAGACACAGCCCAGCAATTTAGAAAATCTAAGGGGAGACATTCGTAGAAGGTGCTGCACTAAAAAAAAAAGTAAATTAGTGAAATTTTAACAAGAACTGGAGTTCTGAAGCTTCTGCACACTTACCGTTTCTAGTAAACATGTTATCATGCAGGAAGCTTGGCTGGCCCCAGAGGGAGCTGAGTCCTCTCCCCTGCAGCAGGACCTGCTGGGTTCCTGACAGGCCGAGACCATCCTGGGCCGTGGCCGGGGATGGGGACCCCATGCGTGGCTGTGAGCTGCTCAGGGTGAGTATATCGTCTCCACTCAATTCCGTGTCTTCACGGCTAAGCAGCAGATCCAACAGCCAGAAGACGCTTGGCAGTCACTAGCTGGAAATCACAGAAAAAGCAGCTTTTAAGGTTGCTGGCTGGGCTACCGTTTTCTGTCGTTTTATGGGCATAAGTTTAACATTTTGTTTAAGAATGTCACACGGGAAGTCCACAGACTTCAGTGGCGGGGAAGCCATTGCCACTGTCTGAGCTGCAAAGCAGGAAGGGATTTAAGTGCTCAAGTTGAAGCCAGCTGTGCACAGGGCCCGCAGCTGCCTCAACACCCCCAGCCACAGGGGAATCCAGGGTGTGGGAGGCCTATCCCTGAGGGTGCCGGTTCGCTACCACCCAGGAAGGGTTCTTGGCCAGGGTCCTGGGCAGCGGAGCCAGCCCTTCCCTGTCACACTCCATCTCGTGCCAGGGAAGGTCTCAGGTGAGAGATGATGGACACTGTCACATGCATGGCACTGGTTGGAGGGTGGCTCTGGTGCGGCCAGTGTGGCCGGTGTGCGCCTTGACTTGGGACGTGGGCCCAGCACCTGCTACGCAAGGACCGGGGCCTATGTCTCAGGAGAAGATCATGGTGTCTCAGGCATGCAAAGGCACTGTGATGACCCTGCTGACCAGCAGTCATGGGGTCCAGCATATAGCAGGGACTTCCAAGTGATTCACCCTAACCGTGCCAGTCCCTGGGTGGTACAGGAAACCCGAGGTGAGTAGCAGGCTTGGAGTTGGAAGACGGAGAAGGAGCCCAGTTTCTGCTGGTCGTGCAGTGTGACCATGAGTTGGCCTTTGCATGAACACCTTCACAGAAGCTGGAGGAGCAGAGGAGGCTCACTGTCTCACTTTGCTCATGAAAGAGTAGATGTCTGCAGAGGGAAGTGGAGAGTGGGCCAAATGGGCTGTGTGGCTCGGAGACCCAGAGCCATTTGCTCCCTCCAGCATGGCCTGGCTGACGGTTGGATGCCCGCTGCACAGAGGATGCCCAGTGTGTGTGGAGGGCGGATGGGCCAGGCCAGCACTCCTGTGTAGAAAGTGCTGAAGGGTGGGAGAATTTTCAGCCTGCACAGATATTTTTGCTGAACAGAATTGAAGAAAGAACCCCTGGGATGAGGACACAAGCACAGGAATCCCATCCAAGAGAAAGCTCTGCTTGGAATTGCTTTCCAGGAAGGCCTGAGTTTGGAAGTGGCCACTGCGCCCACCCAGCTCACTGCCAGCAGAGCCAAGGTAGCTGCGGAAACCAGCGGTGCCCAAGCATTTTGCAGAGAGGCCCAGGAGACCTGGTAGCGGATGCAGTTCTGAGCTCTTGGGACTGGTTGCCTCACCCAAGGAGTCCTCACCTCTCACTCTCTTTCTCCAGAACATTCAAGGGCTCATGCACAAGGCCCTCCTTGCTCAGAGGACAGAGTGACCCCCCGCTGAATGCTTTCCTGAGCCTCACAATGTTTCTTGAGGAAGGAGAGCTCAGAGCTGGTGTGCGCGGCTGGTGCATTTTCCTGCTCCAAGCTGGTGGGCCGTATGCTCTCCAGAGACGTTGTCACTCGCCATTTACCGGCCACTTTACACTTTCATCTAAAAGCCTGAATTCCAGACTTGTTTTAACCTTTAAGCGACATTTACAAATTTATCTGGCGTCCTAGAGGTTCTCCAACAGAAACAGTGCTTCGTTGCTTCTAGACACTAAGATTAAACTCTCAGAGAAGATGTTTAGAGTCTTTCTTTCATAACACGGCTTATAGTTTCTTATCTAAGGATCAAAAAGCTGCAATATTTGAAAATAGCTTTCCAAGTTCTTTCTTGCCTATAGCTTTCTGACGATCCCATTTTTTAAGTTTTATAATTCACACTCCATTGGATTTTTTTTCCAGTTAAAGAGTGCAGTTCCGTTGTTTATAGCATGTTCACATAGTTATGGAGTTGTTTTCAGAATCAATGTTAGAACAATTTGTTCACCACCCTCCAAAGAGGCCAGATTACCCTGGACAATGAGGCATGTAGTTTCTATTTCTAAAGCTCTACCTTTTCTGCACACTTCACGTACGTGAAATCACATAATATGTGGTAAATATTTAGTGTTTTGTCTTTGGAGACAAGGTCTTGATCTGTCACTCAGGCTGGCCTTGCACTCACTGTGTGGCTCAGACTGGCTTCAAACTCAGATCCTTCTGCCTCAGCCTCCCAAATGTTGGGATTGCGGTTGTGTGCCACCACACCTGACAATATTTAGCTTTTTTATGTACCACAGTGCCATCATGTCTCATTTATTTTATAGCATATGAAAGTATTTCATTCCTTTTTGTGGAAAAATAATATTCCATTTTGGTGTTTTTTTTTTTTTCCTCATTCTATTTAACCATTCACCAGCTAATGATGAGGTGGGTCATTCCCACCTTTTAGTGGTTGTAAATGATGCTGTTATGAACATGTATGCACAAGTTTTTTTGTGGACATACCTTTTATTTCCTGGGTTAATACTTGGCAGTGGAACTAGTCGATGGAAGAGTGATTTATGTGGGGCTGTTTTCTAAGGTGGCGATGCCACCTTGCGACCCCCTCAGCAGTGTGGGTGTTCAGAGTCCCCCATCCTTGCCAATGCTCTGTCTTCTTGACAAGAGCGGCCAGTGCCTTTTTGTGGGACCATCTCTCCTTTCCGCCTGCCATCTCTTGGCTGGTGGCCTTCCTGGGAAGGGCAACTGGAAGGCAACTTGAAACCCAGAGATTCTGGGAATCCATACAGTATGGTCAACAGCACATTCGGATTTCAGTTCTGCTACTCCTGGCCTGCATTTATAAAATAAGTGATATCTCAGTGCTTTCACCAGGCAGTGTGGTTTATCAGTGAAACATAGTGCAATTCAGCTTCAAGTTGAATGCCTTCCTTACACATACTTGATTATGATAATTGTAGTTTTTTGTAATGTTGTCTCTGTATAGAATGAAATGCTCCTGGTTCAGGGGAGATCAGCCTTAAGTAGACAGGTCCTAGTTTATCTTAGAAATAACGGTGGTTAAATTAGAGAATTAAAGTAAGGCAGATGATCCAGATTATATTTCATCTACCTCTAGGGCCACTGCTGAGTTTGTTTTGTTTTGTTTTTTTGGTACCGGGATTGAACTTGGGTCCTTGTGCTTGCGAGGCAGGCAGCGGAACCACTGAGCTAAATTCCTGGCCAGCCACTGCTGAGTTGAAGAAACAACACTTCTTGTCTTTGTCCTTGGGCGCCTTACTGAGGGCTCGCAGCCAGGGTCTCCTGTGGTTTTGATAGAGTTCATGGCAGTGCACTGGGCTGCATTCAGTGGATGACTCTTAAAACCATGCCATCAGTTGTGCCTTAGAAGCCTTGTGACAAAGCTTCTAGTTTGTTCATACTCCTGATTGGTTTCACACCTGGGAGGCGTAACTGAGTTAGCCACAGACATGAAGACTAATGCTCTTCCTCTGTTTCTCTCTTTCCCTCTGTCTGTGTTTCCCAGGGACACCTGGTGCCGGCTGTGAGGAAATCAGTCAGGCCTGATTGGTCCTCGGAGAGTGTATAGCTGTTAACCCTACCCGGGGTCCCATGGTGCTGAAGTTCTGGGACCCCGCGAGCACAGAGTGGGACACTTGTCGGGCAGACCCAGCTCCTTGCAGATGTTGGGGCCAGGACTTCCCAGAGGAGGAGGCAGTGGCGGATAGAGGACGAGCAGGTGTGTTGGGACAGACAGACAAGAGAGGCCGCTGCGGCAGAGGCCTGAGATGAGGAAAGACAGGGGAAACAGCTGCGGGATTGTCTGAAAGCCAGGGACAGGGCACATTCAGGGAGACTGGGGTATGGAGGAGCTGGTGAGGTCGGGCAATACTGCCCGCGCTCAGTTGCTGTACAGCTCATTACTCCTGCGGGCCTTGGTCTTAACAAACACCAGTGGCCTGTGTTACTCTTTCACGAGCACTTTCCACAGGTCAGGCAATGGCTCTAGTACCTCTTCAATTCTTCTCTTCTCTGCCCTAAACATTCCTGGCTCCTTCCCTAAACAGGGAGTGCTCTCCGAGTCCTCACCAGCACACTGCTCTCTGTCTGGTATACTGCAACTTGAAGATTTTCTTCTGAAGTCCGGCACTGCAGATGTGGGGACCGGGTGATGAGCCAGACCTCTGCCTTCTGCACGGCGCTGGACCCTGGCTCTCGTCCCCAGTCCAGGCGAGTGCATTTCTGAATTCTGGGTCTTGCTTATCTATTAAGCCAGACGCTTTCTTTCCTGAAGACGTTACTAGCTGATGACAAATCCCGGGCCGAATATTTATAGTGCTTATCTCCATCGAGTCAGCTCTGTCCTGCCGTGCCCAGGAGGCCAGAACCTCTTCAAATCCTGATTCGAGTGTCTGATGCTGTGACCTGCTCGCTCCGCCTGGTGCCACGTGAAGATCTCAGTGTCGTGAAACCCTCTTGTTCGTCTGCAGGCAACGCTGATAAAAATACCGATAGTAGCCTGGCTCTATGTGGGAGCCGTAGCTTTGGTTTTACCAGGCACAGCGGTGAGCTTCGCTGAGCCTTATCGGAAAGGGACAGCAGCCCTGGATGTGCTGCCCACCTATTCACATGCACACCCCGGGGCAGCAGCGTCTCACAGTGAAATCTGCCCTTCCTCCACTGCGATGAACGAAATGCTTAGGAAAACACACATTTCTCCTGCACACTTGGGACTCACAGCAGCAGACACGAAAGGGCAATGGTTTAGGCTCGTTTATGATGAGCCCTAGGGTTTGCCTGCCTGATGGAGTTACACTGTCCTTGGTGTGCACAATGGTCAGGGTGGAGGCCGGGTCACGGCATCTGGTTTAGTGTAAGGAGCTGTGCACACAGGCAAGTGCATGCTGTGAGCCTATGGCATGGTGAGTGTGTAAGTGCAGTTTCTGAGAATGTTTTATAGTAAAAGATGCATTGCCATGAATCCCCCACAGAATCCTCCCCTCACTGTGAACACACTCCCCCCGTCGTCCTTGCCACTTTCTGCAGCAGCTCTGGTGTCCTCTTTCCTGAGGGTCTTTACCAGATGTGATAAAAAGAAATACAATGATGTCGGCTGAGCGCCATCCCACAGAAAGGCGAGCTCTAAAATATGACGCTGTGTCCTCATTCATCTTAGTCGCAAAATCTGACTGCTTCTGGCGCTGCTCAAAGTCAAAATGACCATGAAATGGAAATAGTTTGAATGTGCTCAGGACATGGAGGCTGCCGGGACAGTGCATCTAATGATACTCAAGAAAAGGACTCCAGAGCTGCTGCAGGGATTGGCCAGGACCATGGGATAAACATGCTCCAAGAGGTGGGGAGAATCTCCAGGGGGATGCATGGGAATACGTCTACTACTATAACACATCTATTAAAAATTTAAATATTGCTTATACTTGTTACCACAATTGTTAAGGTGACGTGTTGGCACATGATGTCAGACAGAGTTTTGGTGTCTTAGGAAACATCCTCAGTGGATCATGTCCTCCTGGCGATCTGGCTTCTGCCTGGAACGGGAGTACCTTAGCCTCCTGGTGGAGGTGCAGCATGGTGTAGGCCCTGGCAACAAGTCAGTCCCTGCCCTGTTAGGTGGTGACTGGTCTGCATGGCTACGGGGAGGGGCTTGTGCGGGGATGGACGTGCAATCACACACCCGCCGCTCTGGACCCGCACTGGGCAGACAGTGTGGGCCTGGCACCATGCTACAGAAGTCTCTTAAAAACACACACTCACAGAGTCACAGCTCGTTGGACTCTCGCTGTCTGTTTACCTGACTAGCAAGACCGCCAGGGTTCTGCCTATTCTTGTGTGACTCTGACCCAGCTTGGGGCCAGATGTCCTCTGTCTAGGACCGGTAGCATACACCACAGTTCCCTCTCCTCAGAGAATTTGATTTTCTGTTTCCTAGCCATCCCTCCACCCCCAGAACTGTTTTCAGTTTTGTATGTGCTCCTTGCACTGTAGGGGCCAGTAACCACACTGTTTACTGGGGGTGTCTCCGGGAAGCCTCCTACGTAGACTCACTCCTCTCGTGAGGGAATCAAAGAAAAGAGTGTCTGGAGATCATTTCTCATGTTCTCAAAGTCTGATCACAACGCCTTCATGACTGCTTGCTACTTCACCCTCTCATGTCAGCAGTTCTGTTGAAATATGTCTCAAAGTCTTTCTCTTCTTTCTTGTTTATAAGACAAATATCTGGCAATATTTACCATACCCTTGTCCATAATGGCAATAGACACTCTTTTAACTAAGAATTTTTTTCTGATTATGAATGCAAACTTTATTAAAATTAGAAGTGTAGGAAAAATCCACTATTAAAGGTACCACCCTAATACTACTGAGTTTTGATGTCATTCAATGACATTTTCAGTGTATACTTATTTTCAGTTATCATCATGTCATATCTATAATTTTTGGCAATACTGGGGAGGTTGACCCCAGGACCTTTGAACTGAGCTACATCTTCTTCTATTTTCATTTTTTTTATTTTGAGAGAGTCTAGCTATATTGCTACATTGCCCAACTTGAGTTTAAACTTGGGATCCTCCTCTCCTGCTTTAGCCTTCCTCTTTGCTGGGACTGTAGTATGTGCCACCATGCCTGGCTTACATATGTTATCTACCATTTCATACTCTCCAAATTACCTGCTCTGTGTTATATGAACATCAAGTAAAAATTACTATAGGGTCTATTGTTCATAATGTTTCTTATGCCTTTGATGTAAAGGTTTCTGCTCTCTATTTCTCTTGCATTATTTCCTCAAGATAAAGTCAAAAAAGCATTATTGCTGTATGGAGGGGACAGTTTTAAGGTTCTTGATACATATTTCCAAAATGGTCATATCTATAATTTTTGGCAATACTGGGGAGGTTGACCCCAGGACCTTTGAACTGAGCTACATCCTCTTCTATTTTCTTTTTTTTTATTTTGAGACAGAGTCTAGCTATATTGCTACATTGCCCAACTTGAGTTTAAACTTGCGATCCTCCTCTCTTGCTTTAGCCTTCCTCTTTGCTGGCACTGTAGTATGTGCCACCATGCCTGGCTTACATATGTTATCTACCATTTCATACTCTCCAAATTACCTGCTCTGTGTTATATGAACATCAAGTAAAAATTACTATAGGGTCTATTGTTCATAATGTTTCTTATGCCTTTGATGTAAAGGTTTCTGCTCTCTATTTCTCTTCCATTATTTCCTCAAGATAAAGTCAAGAAAGCATTATTGCTGTATGGAGGGGACAGTTTTAAGGTTCTTGATACATATTTCCAAAATGGTTTCCACAAGGTTTGAATCCCTTGATTACTCCTACCAGCAATATGTGAAAGTATTTATTGGCACGATTTAGCCTATGAAAACCATAGTTACACATTCGGAGGGGGAAAATAGCATTCTATATTCGGAAGATGGTGGAAGCGTTTTTAGAGTTGAAGCAGATCTCAAGACAAATTCCAAGAGCGCATGGCTTAGAAGGCTCCGTGAATCCCACATCCACTGGACGAGAAGTGGTGACCGCTCCGGGAGCGGGGAACGGCGGATGTGTAACTCAGAGGGACTTCACCCTCAGCCCCTCCAGTCCTGTGGCCGGTGGCCCCACTGTGGTCCCTCCTGTGCGGTGCAGTACAGAATCCCAAGGATGCCCAGAGGGTGGGGACACTTCTCATGGAGGTCACAGTGCAGCCTAGCCAGGAGGAAGAGTGACAGTGAGAGAGCCACATGCAAATCAGCCCGGAATCCCTGATGTCTCCGAGGAACTGAAAGTGGGCGGACGGAGTTGGAGATGACAGGAAGTGGGGGCAGAATTATCAGGTTGGATTCTGAGCAGATGATGACACAGAGGGAAGTTGAGTCCTTAAAGAGTTCAAACTAGCGAGAGTTCAGGAGCGAAAAGCTGAAGATTTGAATCAATGGAAGGGTGGACTGTGACACAGCTGTGTAGCCAGAGAGCAGAGGATGGGTGTGAGCTGGAGGGAGTGCCGGTCAGGAGCTGTCCTGGGTTAGGGTAGTGAGGTGGTGCTGGAGGGGACGGGGCGTGGCCGGAGATGTTCATAAAGTGGAGGACCAGGGCTGGAGTAGACGCAGACACTCAGTACTGACAGGAAACAAGCTCACGCTCACGGAGATGAATCACGGAAGAGAGGTCGTGAACATGGGGCGTTCAGAGGACAGCCAGGTGGAACTCTAAGTAGGAAGCCACTTATTTTAGTTTGAGACCCGTGAGGCCAGGTGCGGTCTGAAAGAGATGGAGGCCACAGAGAGGGCGACAGATGAGCGGGGGAAGCTGCTGAAGAGAAGGGGAGCTGGGGCAAGAGGCCCGTGATCACAGAATAAAAGTGCGCTTGGCCATCAGCCTCAGGCCGGTGAAAGGGCTGTGTTACGATGTCCCACGTTTTGCCTCACTCCTTTGCCCATCACCGCTGAGCGGCTCACGCACTGCTTGCTTTCTTGAGTCATCCACCCATTCACTCATCCCTCCTGGAGTCCGGCAAGACACCGGACATCGAGAACAGACAGCCGTGCTCTGCAAGCTGGACGAGTCTGGCTTCCTGGTGCAGGCCGGTGGGAGCAGGGGAGTCAACTCGAATGCAGGTGTCTGTCCTTCTCCGGATGTTTTCAGAGGGTGGCATCCGAACGAGTGGCGTCTTGAAGGACAGAGCAAGTCCCAAGAGGGGGCAAAGAGTTCCTGCGGGAGACGGACAGGGCAGAAGCAGTGGCGTGAGTCTTGTGGGGCTTGGAAATCTCAGATTGGTCCCCGTGTCTCGGAGACAAGTCGGGGCTCTGGGATCCCACGGTGAAGACCCTGGGGGCTGGGATGAGGGCTTTCAAGGAATGGCGGGAGGAATGAGAAGCAGTGAGATGCTGTGATGTGAGGGATCGGTGGGCACTAGACGGAGGTCGGAGGGTGCACAGGCCAGCGGGGAAGTGACGCAAGCACCCCGGCCGGCAGGATGCGGTCTGGGGTCGGAAGCACGGCAGATCAGGGAGCAGTCTCAGAAACACTCGGGCGTTCACAGGCCACGGGCCGGGGCGGCTGGGAGCTGAGGAAAGAGGACTGAGGTGGTGGCACATCTGGGTGTCGGACGTGGTGGCGCGGCCCTCCGGAGTCCGCGGTGGGAGGAGAGGAGGGGGAGTGGCAGCTGCTCAGCTGATGGGAGGCGGCTTGGCTTCCGCCCTGAGAGCTGAGTCGTAGCTTGACCCTTCCGCTGTCCGTGCTCACCTGCGGCCGAGGCCCCAGTCTGGCAGGTCTTACTGAGAATCCTCAATGCATTTTATCTTCTCTCGATGCAGAGGACTAGAGAGACTCGTTCTCCTCAGAGCTGGAGTCCACTGGAAAAGATGGCTCTGTCCTCTGGAATCATCAGGATGGGGCGAGGCGAGGCCCCCAGTACCAGGTGGTCGATGCACCTGAACTGTGTTAGGGTTCCGCCAGGGGAGAGAGCAGCTTTTGCATGAGAATTGTAATGTGGGCTTTCCTTTCGGGTCACAGCAGAAGGAGGAAGGGGAAAAAATAAGGGAAGAAAATCACGCAGACAGCGTAGATTTCCTGATCACTGGTTTGGTCCTCAGCCTGGCCCAGTGTCCTGGACGAGAAGGTGAGTAACATCGTGGTTCTTGCTCTGGGGCAGCACGACAAGAGCAGAGCGGTGAAGGCGTGTGTGCCGGGATTCTAGGCCCGCGCTGCACGAAGGCGGTAAGGAGGTGCCTGGACCTGCAGCTGGCTGAGGCGCCTGTCTGGGGGGGGGCAGTAGCCTCATGACCCCCATCTGTATTTGGGGAATAACAGGATGAACGGCCCTGCGCCCTGTAGTACTTACGAAACAATAATAGGCACACAAAGAAATGAGTGTTTCATGCACCATTTTTTGATTTCTTCTCTGAGACAGAGCTTCGGGGTCAATGCAAGGCTGACCTGGAATCGCTGTGTAGCCGTGGCAGGCCTGGAACTCACAGCAATCTGCCTCGCTCAGCCTCCCCAGTGCTGGGGACGGGCCTGCTCAAGGCTGACCTGGAATCGCTGTGTAGCCCTGGCAGGCCTGGAAGTCACAGCAATCTGCCTTGCTCAGCCTCCCCAGTGCTGGGGTTACGGGCCTGCAGCCCCGCACCCTGCTAATATGGCTTGTTGGTTACCACACAGATGTAGTAGTGAACTCTGAGAAGGTGGCTCCTGCGCCCTGTGAAGCTCTGCGTGAGGCCGTTGCTGTGCCTTATTCCACAGAAGAGAGTTGAAGCTTTAACGGGGCACCAGTCTTCCTCCCGAGCCTCCTCAACTGCCTGCAGAGTCGAATGGAGCAGGAGCAAGTGGGAGTCCCTGGGACAGGGCACTGGGGTCAGGCCGTGGCATGGGAAAGAGGGCTGTGCCTCTGGCCAACCGCACAGTGTGCTGTGTTGGGCACTTGTGTGTGCGCGTGGGTGTGTCAAAGCACAACGTGCAACTTCCAGCACTTAACACACATACTGGGGTTTGCACGGAGCAAAGACCCGAGTTTGAGAAGGCAGCCATGAGCCCCGCTCCTCTCCTCGGTCCAGTTCATGTCCCATGGACACCGCTGACCAGTGATTTTCTATGGCCCGGTCCTATGTGTAATGACAAGGCCCGGGCAAGAATGCTTTCAGAAGTCTTGTTCAAATGAGGAAGAACCACGAGGAATAACGTCGGTGTCCATCGGCCAGAATGTGGACGGGTAGATATTATGAAATCCACATAGCAAGCTAGAGCTGCTTGCAATGCAGAGAACATTAATAATTTTCAAGGTAAAAAAGTAAACCCCAGGATTGTATCTTACAAAATACACTTATTTCGGTTAAAAATACTTTTAAAAGGAGAGCGTGTGTGGTTTTAGAAACAGATACAAAAGAAGTAAGTGGAAATGGTCAGGGAAGTGAGGTTCAGTCCAGGATTCAGCGCTGGCACAAATGAAACAAAACTTTGGGGAAATGTATATGGATTGGTTAGAAGTATTTTTCAGTCAATCCTGCCCCTGTTCGAACAAAAGAGAAAAAGCCAGGAAACTGACGCGTCCGCACCCGTTGGAGTAGGCGCCTCAAGCTCACTGTTCCAAATCTGACAGACTTCAGCTGATTCTGGAAGGGTTTTTGTCCTGAACTGAAGCAGAAGTCATCTGTGAGCTGCTGGGCTGGGACGTGGACACCGTGTGACAATGTCATGCGAAGTAGAGAGCTGGCAAGATGGGAAGCTGGGCTTCCTCAGTCCAGCACAACATTCTGGTGTGTGTACTCCTCAGTGTGCACTTGTGTGTGTGTGTGTGTGTGTGTGTGTGTGTGTACTCAGCCCTGGATTTGTCCTCACCATGATGCACAATCTGAGGTTGTGAGGGAAAAGACCTAGAGCTGCTGAGTAACAACAGTGACTGTGCTCTTTGAGACTGCTAGGGTATTATCTTATTGTTCACTCTAAATAATTGGTATTTTCGGGTTATTACAGCCATTTGTGAGCCCAGCTTGATGACACACATCTTTTGTAATCCCAGCAGTTTAGGAGGCTGAGGCAGGAGGATCAAAGTTTGATCAGCCCGGGCAGCTTAGTGACTGAGTAAGAAGACCCTGTCTAAAAGAAATAAAATGAGAGTGGAATTAAATGATATTAGAAAGAGGCTCAGTGAAAAGCCCCTGGATTCAATCCTAGTTCTGAAAAAGAAAGCTGTGAATATAAGCAAAGAGATCAGGTGGATTTGTAGGTGACTGACACCACTGGGTCCTCTGGACCTGGGCAACAAAATTCCGAAGTTCACATCCAGGTCTCCCTGCCATCTTTTTTTGTTTTTGTTTTTGGTACTGGGGATCAAACTCAAGCCCTTGAGCTTTTGAGGCA